AGCTAGAAAGTCTGTGCCAGAGAGATAAAGGATCTGTGCTAGCAGGCTGAGGGATCCACACTGGATCCAAGAAGCAATGCATAAAATAAGAACAAAAGCTCCCCGGAAAAGTACCACAGCCATCCTCAGCAACAGTGAGGTCCCTAGCTCCTCTGATAATGAGGAAAGCTGAGTTCCCATTAGGAAAGCCAACATGCCAAGCTTCTCCAAGAGACTGAGTGGTGCACCATCTTCCCTTCTGGAGCCAGGAAGCGATGCTCAGAGTGAGGACCAAAGCTCCCCCGAAGTGAACTGAAGCCATTCTCAGTGATAACAAGGTCCCAAGCTACTTGGAGTATGAAAACAGCCAAGTTCATCAGGAAAGCCAGTATGACAAGCTCCTCCAAGAGAACCAACAGCTCCTTACAGCTTTTCTCTGCTTCCAACAGGCTCCCAACAGCTTCTACCAGCTCCAAACAGCCTTCCTTCTTCTCCAGTTCTGCCTCTATGCTGCTGACAACAGTCCCCAGGTGGGCCTCCTACACCCAGCAGCACACTGGTTCAGTTCAGCTGGGTGTTACAAGTTAACCATCAGTTGTCAATCGACCACAGTTGGTAAAGCTTGTTATCCCAGCACTCTGGGAGGCTGAGGCAGAAGTTTGAGCCTAGTTTGGGCAACTTAGTGACTTGGCAATAACCTGTCCCAAAGCAAAAGCTAAACCAAAACAAAACACAGACCGAAAAACAAAACAGCAGCAACAACAGGAAATAGTTAAGGATGTATGCTCAGTGGGGAAGCCCCGGATTCAGTTACCAGTATCAACAAAAAATGTATATTGAGTCTATAAAGAACATGGGGGGAACTGTTTTACTGTAGTCCGTTACTGGAAATTCTGATTTCCAAAACATCAAATATAGGTGACACTGACCGGGTATGGGGGAAGGATCAGATGTGCTTGGAATGAAGAACTCATGTGTAAAAACAGGAAGTGATATGACTGGACATTGTACACTTGAAAGGAAAAAGGATTTTCCAAATTATTCTCTCTGTCACAAATGTTTTCTCTGATTATATTTCCATAGTTTTCCTCATTATATTTTTCATCTTGTTTCATTATTATGGAAATATATGGTTTTTATACAACCTTTGAATCTCATCTCAAGTCTTCTAAAACTTATTACAGTATAATTTCACTGACTTTTCCTCATTCCTCTCTCTGTCCTCCCTCTCCCTCCCCTTCTCCATCACTCTCACACCTTTCTCTGTCCTCTCTCTCTCTTTCTCTCTCTCTCTCTCTCTCTCTCTCTCTTCCCTCCATCTATACGTGTATACACATATAATTTTTGTTTTTGGCAAATGTATTTGAATGTGTGCCCTGTTGGAGGCACTAAATTAGAGGCAATAAGGGATATTGGAATGGAATTAACTTCATCCTTGTCAGGAAAAAGTAAAAATATAGAGAAACTATTGTATTTTCATTTAAAATAGTATATGGCATTGAATTTCAGAAAAAGCTCTGGTTAGGACTGAAAGGTCAGGAATTTTGTTATCCAGACTCCTATATGTAATCTATGTGTGTGCTTGAACTAATTTTCCTGACGATGGATATTAACTTGGAAAAATAGAGAAGATAAAATTTTCTAGGAAGATAGAAAGCTATGAAGAAAATGTTTGTGTTTTTATTTTAAATAAAATTAGTATTTCTAGGGGCTTAAACATTAGTGACTTTCCTTCAAAATCTGAAAATCGTGCCCCTGAGAAGCACCTCCTTTCTAGTCTGGCCAGGCACGGCTTGGTGATCACTGTGGAGTGTCCCTAGTGTCTATTTCTCCACTCTCTGTACATACTCAATACTCCTATGTTCCAGATAGATTGAAAATAATACCATTAAAAATAGCACATACAAAAGTGTTTTTAAAAGTATACACTTTTAGGAGCTGGGGATTTAGCTCAGCGGCAAAGCGCCTGCCTGGCAAGCGCAAGGTCGTGAGTTCGGTTCCCGGTACCAGAGAAAAACCAAAAAAAAACAAAAAAACAAAAAACAAAACAAAAAAATGTATACACTTTTAAATAAATATTAAAATGATGATAATCATAAAACAATCGTGACTGCAGTTTATCCCGCCACCATCAGGAACACATCTCAAAATCATACAGTGTAGCAGGAAGTCTACCCACCATTGTTCTCACCAAGAGTCCCAACTTTCACTGGCCATTGAATATACACAGCATTGTTTTTGGAAACAAAGGCAAAAGCAAATTCTACTAGATTATAAAGAAAATACTCAAAAATCAAGACAATTGAATTATTTTTACTTTTATTAGAGGTTATTTTACCGTGAAAGGTTAATGGTGGTATTTGGAAAAATGGCAAAAAGATTTTATTGTAATTTGGAAAAGCCATTTTGATCTACTCATTATGGAATTAAAGATTGACACATTTATTTGAAACTATGAGGCTGCCAAATATAAGTAGTTTTTGGAAGAAATAGCTTGGGTAGACAAAGGTCTTAATCCTAAAGAATTATACTTTATTGAGTACTTAAAAGTATTTATTAATTAAACATTCACCAAATGCTTATGATGCAGTGAGAGATAAAATAATAAATGGAGCTAGTAGAGAATGTGAAATAACATGAGTGAGAATATATTTTAGGATTCATGCTTGTTTTAGAAATGCAAAAGAGGGAATATCTTTGAGTCTCAGTTTTGCAGGAGACTTCCGTGGAACAAAACCTATGATATATTAAGTAGACAAAAGAAAAAAAGAACACCCATTCTCAATAAAAAAAAGAATATAAGTAAATGCTGAAATGTAACATATGTATCAACCTATTGCCTTGTTCATTATTGCCCTGCACACAGTATTTCCTAGTAAAAACAGGAATGAATGCTGAATTGATTCATGAAAAATGTCAATTATTAGACTAAAAAGCTTGATTTTCAGTCAAAAGACAGTTGGGGCATATCTATAAAATACTGTTCTATTCCATCTTGGAATGTCTTTGACTCTAAAAGTTTTGTTATACATCTTATATTATTTGAATATTATAAAAATTTTCTATAAATAATGCTAATTTTAATGTATTTCAAACTTATTGGACTTTTTTCTACAGAATTCAGCCCTTAGTTTCAAATTCCCAAGTTTCTGTAAACTAAAATTGAATGATTTATTAAAAATGCGACTGAATTTCAATATTTAACTAGATGTAATATCATACAGAATGGTGTGAGTATAAATTTCCAGAAGTATATAATCAAATTTTAAAGGATATTTTGCATTCCTTCCAATAAACCTAATTTAACCTTTCCATATGGTATTATTAAATTGACTTAAGTGAACCTAATATCTGAAAAATTTTAAATTATTGCTTTTCAGTGACTGTACTCATGTGTTAGAAAACCTATTTTTCTGCAATATTCTTTCCTCAGTGTACATTTGTAAAATCTATTTATCATTTTTCACCTTTATGTTCCTTTTATTAACATCATCTCACACTGATCTTTTCATTTTTCTGCATGGTTGTTCCTGGATTTGATTTTCTGACACATGCCATTATTATATTTGGTTAAATTTTCAAAACATAATCTGTACACCAACAGTTTTCTAATTATTTTTCTTGGCAAGAAAGCATTTGTCTGAGGAAAATTATATGCTTAAAGCTAAAATATACAGCAAGTAAATGGAGCTGTTTTGTTAAGGTGGGTGTCGGAGGCTCAGCATCCTGTGCCTTCCGGGCTGTTTTCACCTCCCACCACCGTCCCCTAGACAGCTCCAAGGAGTTTCAGACTTTTGTTGTCCACAGCTTGAAATCGGCTGTTAGGAATGTCAGTTTCCTTCAGTGAATTGTCTCAATTTTATCATTTATCACTGAGTAAATGGTGATAATCTTTCATTACGGAACATAATCTAGATGTTTTCATTGTCCCCAGGATTAAAACTGAGATAATTGAGGAAATCATCCCCTACAACACACACACACACACACACACACACACACACACACACACACACAGAGTAGAGATTTTGGTGGGTTTCCTCCTATAAAATAAAAATGAAAATATCAACACATAGTAGAAGTTCTCCTATTCAATATATTTGAGACCTGTACTTAGTCCAATAACAGAAAAAGCTGAAGTGCTTTAGGAGTTACATTGTTCCTTGATTTTATATATCACTCCAATAAAAAAAAACTTTAGCTATTATTCTGTCACATATATATACTCCCTTGGAAAAAACATTAATAAACATTATTACTTAAAATAATTTTATATTTACAGAAAAAATTAACAAGAAATATTAAGAGTTCTGTTACAGCGTCTCCCTCTGTTCCTCCCGTAATTTTACCAATCACACATTGTTATATATTGGGTCTTAAATATCCCCCAAGACTTGGATGTTCAGAGACGGGGCTTTTAGAAAAGTTACTGTATCTTGGGGACACTATTCTCATCAGAAAATGAATCCACTGGTGATTTCAGAGAGGAGTGGGACCCCATTGGAGAAGGAACCTGGTGTGGATTACTGCAGGCTTGGCTTCTGAGGATAAGACTCTTACACAGGTCCTTCACTATCTCTTTCGGCTTCTGACCACAATCAGCGGAGTAGCTTCCTTCTTCCCCGTCTCTCCGACATGTTGTTTCTGCCTTGAAAGCAGCCAGCCACACGTGGAAACTTCTGAAACTGCACCAAAGTAATCGTTTCCTCTAACTTTCAGGAGTCAGGTATTTTGTTCCACAGATAGGAAAGCTGAGTAATACACATATCTTACCTTACTTCTATAAGGATTTTTGGTAACAGATGAACCTCTTTTGATATTTTGCTACTAACTAAAGTTTGTTTGCTGCAAATTTCTATGTGTTTTGACACATGTACATCAATATGCATCTGTCATTACTGTGTCATTCAGAATAGTTTCACTTTCCTAAGAAATCACCCAAGTTTCACTTGTTGGAAATGAGCCCCGGACCCAACTTGGTGCAGATAATAAAGCACTCAGACATCAAGATATCTCGACAAAGCTTTTTCCATTTGCAAAAGGGCACAAGCTTGAGGTAGGAGACACAGCACAAAGAAGGATAGCTCCTTTTTTCTCTGCTGAGAGAAAATCAGCTGACCTCTTTCTCATTGGCTGGTTTGGAGATTCACAATCTATCCCAGTTGGCTAACTCAGACAACAGGAAGCGAGGAGAATCTAAGGGGTTGCTGAAGAGGAGAGCAGAGCGGAGGGGGAGGTGTAGTACAGAAAATCCTTGGCCCCTGATGATCTGTCTTTTGTTTGTAGCTGTGTTCCCAGGATCGAAACTGAGTGGACATTTTTGGTAATTTAGTATGTTCAGGAAGGGCTGTCTAGGATGGGCTAGAGTCCAAGATGGAATCACTCCTATTCGGTAGAAAAGACAAAACTTACTGTTTCCCACACACCTATTTATTCTCCCCACCCACTCAACCTCTAACAACTACTGATATTTCTACTGTCTCTTTAGTTTTGTCATTTTTAAAATGCCATATATAGTAATTTAAATGATTGGCACACTGGCTTTGTCACTTAGTAACACTTTGTTCACTTAGTAATATACTTGTAAATTTTTTCTTTACATACCTTTATACCTCATTTTTTTTTCCTCTGAATAATTTTCCATTGTATGAATGTACCATCGTTATTTGTGTGCTTATTGGTTGCTGTGATTTCACTTTTAATCTTAATTTACAATCTATTCATTACTTGTGTATTAGAAATTGCTACTTTCTAATTCTAACACCCAAATATTTTGTGGAAAATTGAAAATAATAAAAGTAATAATATGCAATATATTGACTATTGTTATTCTTCTGTCATCTTGTTAGGAAATTTTGTTTTAACTTTCTTCCATAAAAATAAAAAAATGAAAATAAGGATCTCACTTTATCTTTAACTTTCACTTTTATTTTGGGTACTAAAACACATTTTGACAAGAATTTTAAGGTAATAATAATAAATTCTTGCTCCCTTGTTTTCACTTGTCTCTAAGAATGATGAGTTCAAGCTGTATCTCATAAATACAATTGTTATATGTTCACACAAACAGTAATGAAATAATTACTACTTTTTTGTCTTTAAGCTAGGAATAGAAACATTTTATGAAAAATTACATGTATGTCTAGTCCTGTTCAGGAATTTATGTCATTGTAATAGAAATGATAGCAACATTTATTTTAATGTGAGAGGCATGTTTCTTATCCTTCTATGTTCTTATTCTTGGTTTAAGCTTGTTATTTAAAATGTGAGTTGATGAAAGTATTTGCAAAGATTCATAACTAAACTTATCCACTCATCATTTTTCTTTTTCCTATTTTCTCTTATTTAAAAGAAACAATTTTGTTGTAGTGCTTTGTATGTTTCATAACTATGAGCATTACAGATTTTACAATATTTCAATTTCACCTTTTTCCATTTTTAAAATGACCTTCTTATGATTTCTACTTTTTCAATTTGATTTTGTATGATGCTAAATCTTAATCATATAATTCAGACTTTTTTAAAGTGATGTATGTAGCTCTTCTTTGGAAGCAGACCTTTAAAATCATAAAAGATAAAGAAATATCACTTCCACTTTCAATATACGATGACCGCTTTACTTTTTCTCATAGCCTAACTCAGTTGACTTCTTTCACTGTGAAAAATTCAGCTTGCTAACAACATTGTTCTCTCATTGCACGCCTTGGAGTTTAGATGCATGTAGCATAATCAGTACTGACAACATATGTCCTCTACACCTCCTGCCCATGCTCACAGGACATCTCACTAATTCATCACCATTCAATCAATAATGGCCCCTGCTGAGAGGGGAGAGGAAAGAACGAATTTTCACATAAATATTTGAAATTGGCCTAATTATATTGTCCTGGTCTAGGACGCGGTGCCAATAACCTTCCATTTAGATGAGCACGGAGATACACAGGTGGAGAAGTACTTCGTTAGGCAGATTAAACAGAAATGTTCCACTGAAGTGGGTAACTGCAGGAATCATGATCTGCCTATATTCCAACTGCATAAAATGAGTACTGTTAAAGAAGGGTGACACCAGAAAGAAATAAATGCCATAGAGCTTCACACTTTTGCACTGTCACACACGGTAATCTTCCTCTCAGTATTTCTTTCCTTTAATTCCCTTCCACTTTTCTACTTGCTTTTCCTATTTTCTTCTTGTAGAAAATTCCTTGTCCTTCTCTCACCATTTTTATTGTCTTCCTTCTCATGCCTCCTTTTCTTCTTTATTTTCTTATTTGTTTTTCCTTTTGGGGTTGGGAGAAACAGAATCATGACAGTGACTTGAGAAAATAAATCTGCCAGCATTAAGAAGCAGGGACATGAAGGGATTAGCCTGCATATGTGGAAAATGACTAGAAAAATGTGGTTTTTCAAGACAAAAGATGATGAGGTTCTGAAATTATGGTCATGGGATAGGTAAGGAAAAGAAAGATCTGAGAAGTGCTGTAAAAATAAGGTAGACAGCTTCACAATTATGGGAGGGCATAGCATACCTTCAGAACACTTAGAGAGTTATTTGCACATCATAACTGAATTTTTCCACTGCTAAATCGGTCATTGCAATGTGAACTTTAGCAATTTGCCCTTTACATGCATAACAATGTCATAAATAAATCAGGGGCAAACTAATGAGAAAATGTATAGCAAAGAGCCAACTAAGCTCTATGCACAAAATCAACAACAGTTTGCAATTCATTTCAATCATGTGCTGGGTAATTACATAGTATGCAATCCAAAACCAACAGTATTTTCTATTGTAAAATTACACCGAGTACTGAATATTGGCTATTTGTGAATGCAAACTTCTATATAAAAACTATAGTCAGTTTGCGTGTTTAAAAGTGCTAAAATATGCACTTTAAAAAAAAAAAAAAAGCACTTCTCTCCCATGACCTCTTTGGAAAAATAATACCATTGGGCATCAGGCCTCGGAAGCCCACATGGCATGGTTAATGAAAAGCCAGGAGTTTGGAGAGAATATTGAATTTGAAAGTCTCTGAGAGTGTTCCCCAAATGGGTTGTTAAGTCCCTGTGACAGAGAACATTAGTGCTAGATGATGACAGTCATTCGATTCTAAACACAAACCATATTGTCTGTGATTAAAGGCAGATGCCGGAGGAGGGCATCCAGGGCATTGTGGCCAGAGCTGCATTAGAACTGTCCCTTGGCGGCTTCAGGGCTGTGACCAAAAGTAATAATGATAATCATAATAAAAAGACAAAATCTGACTTTGTCTCCATATTGAAGGGGAGACATTTATAACTTTTGAAGGCTTCTGGTCTAAATTTTAGGGAGTAAGATGCCAAACTCATATATATGTATATATTTTTTTTTCTTTCACAGGTATGAAAAATAAATAAATGAACCTTTGGCCACAACGAAAATATACCTGCAGAATTATGTAGAGCATATATGTGAGCAAGGTGTTTGCCTGTGGATCTGTGCAGTCCCTAGGTTTCTACTTGCTTTGTTAGAAAAGGCTGGAGAAATGACAAGTGATTAACCTGTCCTTGTCCCTATAATACTTTAATCCAGAAAAATAGAACTATTTTCTGTATTGATTTTTTTCCATCCACATTTATGGCATTTTTGGTGAAATACTGTTCTTCGTAATTCTCATAACAGCTTTGTTCCAGCGCTTGTGGAAAATATCACATTAGATTTATTAAAAATAATTATATATACCCTGTATCTCTCTTTGTAGTCCATAAATCATTTGGGGAAAGGTTATATTTATCTAATATTAATTGAATACTTATTTGTACAGAATTTTCTGAAAGCATTATATGTGTTATTCTACTCAGTACAGCTACTGTATAAGATAGACATGTAATTTCCCTAAACTTAAGGAGGAGGCAAATGAAGCAGAGAAAGGTAAAGTAACTCGCCCAAGGACACACAGTTAGTAATTAGCAGAGCTGAGATCTGAAGCCAATAATTCTGATTTCACATCCCTTGCATTCTTATGAGAGGCCCAAGGAACAGAAGACAAAGCTTAAGGCCTTTCCAAAGTGAGCAATCTAATTATACCATACTTCCTCAAAATATCTTTCAGCCCAAAGGGCCTTACCTTCAATTTAAGGGTGAACCAGATGTGGATGTTTCTCACTTGCCACTCAGCATATTCACCCTCAGGGCTGCAAATGAACATGCCTTCTATCTGAGAAGATCAAAAGACTAATTAGATTGTGGAAAGTTCATAACCACAATGTGCAATGCTTATATTGGAGCAAATGCCAATCACCTGGGTGATGTTAAATAAGTTCAAGCGATGAACTTAGCTGAAGTGATTCCGGGCTGATGACCACAGCTGTGCTTACCAAACCTGGACAAAAGTGCTTCCTAGAAGAATACAACATCATCATAAGCTTCAGATAATTAGATAATTTCCAAGGGCACTGATCTTATCACTCCCAAAGGAAGCAAAAAATTGTGGCTGAGGACAAGGAGAAACAATAGGCAGAAAAATATTTAGATTAAAAATTAGGCACTTAATTTGTGAAACAAAGTTTGACAGACATGGAAGGTACATGGAGAAAGCCTAATTTTATCTTCTACTCAAGAAAAAAAAGGAAATAATGAAATAAATGAAATGTTTGAAGAGGGGCTGGGGATTTAGCTCAGCGGCAAAAGCGCCTGCCTGGCAAGCGCAAGGTCGTGAGTTCGGTTCCTGGTACCGCAGAAAAACAAAAAAAAAAAAAAAAAAAAAAAAAAAGAAATGTTTGAAGAGTGGCAAAGCCTTTTCCAGAATTCATCAAAGACTGAAGCTAAAGATATCAGAAATCATAAAATTTCTATATAGGAGAAGTAAAAATTATACCTAAACACCTTATAGTGAGACTATAGAATAACAAAGATATAATCATCAGATCTTTGTGAGCAAAGAAAGAAAAAAACTAGATTGCTATAAAGAATTGAATTATAATAATAGTTGGAATTTTCTATACATAAAAGAAGCAAGAATACTGTTGAATAATATATGTTCAACGTTGTTTAAAAAGCTCACTCCAGAATTATATATCATTAACATTCAAATATCAGAGTGAAGCATATGTATTTTTACAAAAACAGAAAAAAAAAAAAAAAAAAAAAAAACAGGAAACCAGTCACTTACAGACCCCTCTACAAGAATAAAGTGTTACTTTAAGCATGAGTTAGTTGGTCCTTGAAAGATGCATTAAGCAGGCAGGAGGCCTGGGTTCGATTCCCGGCCCATGCAGCACGCTGTCATCTTTGGGGCTGGGGATTTGGCTCAGTGGCACAGCAACTGCCTGGCCAGGGCGAGGTCGTGAGTTCTATTCCCAGTAATGGAAAAAAAGGCAAAAAAAAAGAAAAATGCATTAAAAACCTGACCATGGAGGAACCTGCCTATAATCCCAGCACCCTGGGAGGCTCAGCTTGCAAAATTGAGCCCAGCTAGAGCAACTTGGTTCCGCTGGATACCATATATCAAAACCCACACATACATAAATGAAAAGGGCTGAAGATGTAGTTAAATGCAAAGGTCCTATGTTCAATCCCTAATACCAGAAATATAAGAAAAAGAGAGAGAGAGACAGAGACAAAGGGAGACAGGGACAGGGAAGAGAAAAGAAAGGAAGAACAATACAGAAAGAAGGGAAGGAAGGAAATAAAGAGCAAGCAAAGAACAATATTTGGAGAATCTAGAAAAAATTATGACAGAAAAAAGAATATCATTGAGGGATTTAAGGAAAAACTAAAATTAAAGTATAATAAATTAGAAGGAGATAAATTTGCAGAGCAATCAAAGTTCTAATTTGAAAGAAGGAACAGAACTTTAATAATATTTGTCTGAAATAATTTGGGTACACATGTCACGATTTTTAGAATAACCCCTCAAAAAATTGTTGCAGAATGAACTTCCTGGGAACCTGCTTTAGCAGTGTCAATAGAGTGGGCCTTACTGTATAATGGGCAGAAAGGAATCTGAAAAATAAACATTTTAGTTGAGGTTCTGTTAAGTTCATGATAATGAATTTATTAATTACAGGAATACAAATTAGGATGCAGTAACAAATTTAAGTTCCCTTTGTAATGTTAACATAACAACTCCAACAATAATCAAGTTAGGTATTGTGGTTTATATCTAGAGGACCCCATGCACTCGTGCACTCATAAGAGCAGCTGTTGTAGGAGGAACGTCAGATCACTAAACGTGAGCTAAGGAAGCGGGGCCTGGGTGGAAGAAGCGGGAGCTGGGCACCTGACCTGACAGTGTGTATCTCCTTCCCTGAGAGAAAGTTCCTTTCCTTGTTTTCTGCTTCTTGGTTACCGTGAGGTGGAAAGAACCTCCCACCATGCTTTCCTGCCATGGATCCAACCCGATAACAACGAAACACTTGAGTCAAAATAAATCTCTCCTCCATTAAGCTGAAGTGCTGGGTATTGTGTCTCGGTGACAATGACAAAGATTTTAGCTCACTCTCCTTAGCGACCGATGGGCGTAATGAGATTCCTCCGCTGTCTCCTGATGCCCTGTGTACTCAGACTTAAGGCCCATTTCCTGTTAGTAAAAAAATACCAGCGTGACCGCTTCTAAAATAGTCAGGATTTAGGGTGGGATATAGTAATTTTGTTTTCCAGCTCTAACTATTAAAGAGATAGAAAATGGGAAACAATAAAATCATTATACAAAGCATCTGGTATTAGGTTGATGGTAACTTCATAAAATAAGGAAGCATTTTATCTTCTACTTACTACAAGAGTTCATGAAATAATACTTTTATTTCTTTGTTAAAGGTTTATGAAATTTACAAGTAAAATATCTAGGTTATTTTATTTTATTTATTTATTTTTGGTGGTATCTGGAACTGAACTTAGGACCTTGTGCTTGCCAGGCAGGCACTTGTGCCACTGAGCTATATCTCCAGCCCTACAATATCTGGTGTTAAAGGTTTTGTCCCATTTTTATTATAGTAAAATACATATAACATAAAATTTTGATTATGACCATTTTAAGTGTACAGATCAGTGCAATAAATATATTCAAAATGCTGAGTCATTACCACCACCATACATCTCCCTAGCTCTTTTAACTTTATAAAACTAGAATTTAATACCCATTAAAGAGTACATTTTCAGTGTCTTCTCCTTCAAGATCCTCACCCCTACCGTACGACTTTCTGTCTCTGTGATTTTGATTATTCCCAATACTTTTTGGAAGTTGAGTTTTACAGCATTTATTCACTTCATGATGGGCTTATTTCACTTAGCATAGTGCCTTATGTTCATTCATGTTGGAGCATGTTAGAATTTCCTACCTTTTTAATAACAATAGGTATTATCACATTTTGCTTACTCATTTATGTGTTAATGGACACATGGGTTTTTACCTCCATGTTTTAACTATTATAAATATTCTGCTGTGAATGTAGGTGCACAAATAACTCCAAGACACTGCATTCAGTTCTTTTGGCTATATAGCCTGTGTAGAATTGCTGGCTTATAAGATAATTCTATTTTTAATATTTTGAGAAAATATTTTACTGGTATAATATATAGTACAGTTGATAGATACTACGTTATGGTTAATACTGGCTTCACTGATCTAATTAGGAAGTGCTTGAATCTCTTTAAATTTTTGGAAAAGTTTGAGAATTAGTTTTATTTCATTTTTAAATGTTTGGTAATTCACCAGTGAAGCTGTAAACTTCAGGGTTTTTTTCTTAGGAGATTCTTGAGAACTGATTTAATTTTCTTACCAGTTAAAGGTGTAGCCATATTTCTATTACTTCATGGGTTAGTTTGGGGATATTTAATGTCCCTGGATATTTGTTCATTTCATCAACGATATCCAAGTTAGTAGCTAATGATTATTCAAAGTGCAATATTTAATCATTTTTAGCACTGTAAAATCAGTAGTAAGTTCTTACTTTACCTACAGATTTTATTAACTTAAATATTCTCTCTTTTCCTCTTACTCCATATGGCTAACACTTTATCAATTTTATTGAATTTTTCAAAAGTACTTTTGGTTTCATTGCTTTTTCCAATGATTTTCTACTTAATTTATCCCTTTTCTATACTTTGTTATTTCTCTTGCTTTTTTTTTCATTTTTCTCAATTTCTCAAGTTGAAGTGGTGTCATTGCTTTGATATCTTTCTTAGTTTTTAATGAAAACTGTGCTAAGTTCAAATTCCTTCATGTTGCATTTGCTTTTACTACATCTGATGTTCATTCACACTTAACTATTTTCTGATTTCTCCTGTGATTTCTTCTTTGAAAGAGATTTAAAGCTTCTTCTGGAAAATAAACAAGGCTATTCTATTTTTTATCTTATTTTTGAATATTTTACTTTTATTAAGTCATTTAATCTTCCAACCAAAACACAGTATTATCATTAAACTCATTGCGTGAGAAAATGAGATACAGATGTCAGGTAACTTGCAGTGCTTACAAGAGACAGACCTGGTATTCATCTCTGGCAGCAGCTCCACAGCCCATAATCAGGTTTGATTTATTTTTTAAAATCTTTAATTAATACATATGTGCAGTCTATAAAGAATACATCCAATGTGTGTAGTTGGTATATGTATGGACATATCTTAATTCTACTTGCATCTCCTTTCCTTTGCCCCTCCCTGCATCTGTTAGTCCCATTGCCTTCTACAACTGACCTATCTCCCTATTTCCTATTATCTGTCTTTACTTTTTGTCTACCTTTATACTTTGGATTTCTCATATCAGATAAATCATGTGATATTTAATCTCATGTGTCTGATTTTCTTCACTTAAAAACATGATATCAAGATGCATTCATTTTCCTACAGATGATTCATACTTAGCTTCATTATAGCAGGCTAGAACTTCACTGTGAATAAAAGCCATGCTTTCTGCATTCATCTGTTGGATGTACAGGCTTCTTCCAAGATTTAGCTATTATAAATTGTGTTGCTATAGACATGGATTTGCATGTATCACTGTAATACGAAGAATTTAAATCTTTTGGGAAGCTATGTAGTAGGAGACTAGCTCATTCAAATGGAATTTTTAGTTTTAGTTTGTTGAGGAATCTTCACCTTGATTTGCACAATAGTTGTACTCATCTAAATTCCCACCAGCAATATACAAGAGTTCCTTTCTTCCTCCGGACTTGCCAGCATTTGTTATTGATTTCTTGTTGATAGCCATTCTTTGTGGAGTATGGTGGAATCTCACTGTTGTTTTAAATTGTATTTCTGTAATGATAAGAAATGTTGAACTCTTTTTCTTGTATTTATTGTCTATTCCCATGTCTTCTGAAAAGTGTTTATTAATTTCAGATGCCATTTTTGATTGAATGTTTTATTCTGGAGAAGGTCTAATTTTTTTAGTTTT